ATTGTGCATAAAGTATGAAAACTTTACTGAGGATGTATTATGAGACTATAGGAAGGCAAGCCTCCAAAGATGTTCAGATTATTACTGACAAATGCCACTGTGTCATACTACCTTGCTCAGTAGTAAATGAACTAAAGAAGTGCTAATTGCTTTGAAGTTAATGAAGACTATATTGCCTTTCAATAACTGGTGTTTGTTTAGCTACTATGATTTTAGCTATCTCGTTGAGCAATGTGAGATGGTGGAAGTTCCACCTTTTACAAGTTTTAAATCCCTGTAGAATTGACAGAAAAAGCTGTAACCACAAATTGGTTTGCAATTTTCCTCTTTCTTCCCAGCAAGCTCTGTATGGTTATATTATGAACCTTGCTTCAAACAAACTGCTTCTGACTTTTATGATCCTTTTGTGATCTAAATGGTTATCTCATAAGATATTCCACTGCAGCTTCTTTTTCAATTGCTTTTACTGTGAAATGGCATTCTGGAGATTTCTGGGGACCATTTCACACTCTTATTGTATTGATTTGCTAAACCTGATGAAAGGTTTATATTTGAGATGCAGTCTAGTATATGAATGAAGCGTAAAGCTTATGAAGAGGAGATTCAGGACTTTCAATAACCCCATTTTCTTGATGGGGTTTGCCTCTTTACAGAAGTTTAGTGTTCTATCTCGAATTTCTGAAGGCAGGTTGCTACATGAACTGTATTTCTAATTGTCTTGGAATGTTTCCATTCCACTGAATTATGATCACAGAAAAAGTATAGAGAAGATGACTCCCAGTAACTTGTAAATCTTCCCAATATAAAGTCAGAGCAAATACACAAAAGCACATGGGAATCTAAATGCAAAAATGTATGTGAGATTTTTCCCAGAGCTCCCACTTGTGAGGATGGCAGAGGATAGATTTACACCTGGGGACACTAAAAAACTGACAACAAAACTGACTTCTTTGGGCTTTGGTGTTGGAAATAAGCCCTTTTCCTTAAAAGACTATCCATTGTAAAATGATTACAGGCCAAGAAAAAAAAGAGGTTTTGATGGAGTTATAGCATAACAATGAGTCAGAAACTCTTTTATGCACAGAAGGACAATTTTTTACTGGGCCAAACCACAAGCCCGTGGCTCTACCTTTACTTTGGGAAGTGTTATGAATTTAAGACATGGATCCAGGTAACTCAGTCACAGCAAAATAAAACAATCAGCTGTTCACAAGTATAGTGAGGAACACCCAATGAGCAGGGGAGTGTCCTAACAAGAGTTCCAGAATGTTTTGTTTAGAAGATGGAGAAAAATCAATGCCAGTTTGGCATATGAACATCAATACATATATGTACCCAAGACAACATGTCTGTTTTAGTTTTCTTCAAATGCAAGTGAACTCCTTCCTGCAGGATGATGGAAAAGTAGGAGAATGAGGGTCAGAGACAGCTTATGTGGAGGCAGTATTTAGGTCTCTAAAATACCTGAAATATTGCAAATTAGGGAAAGGAACTGAGAAATTCACAGTGTACAGGACAGAGAGAGTGGGGAATCCTTTATCCTGTAGCCAAGACACTTAGAGAAGTAATCAGAGATTGTTTGACTGTAGCACAATTATATGCTAAAAAAAAATTAAAAATTACATGGTTCCTTTAGAAAGAGAAGCTGGAAAATGTATGCTGGAGTATAGGTGTGTAACAATTCACTACATATATTATTCGATGCAAGGCTTTATTACTGAATTGTGTGGAGGTATTTTGCAGTATGTGCCTGAATGATGATATGATTGCATATGACTGCTGTGTGAAGTCTAGATGAATTGCTTGTTGATATTAAACAAATTATGGAATTCCTCTAGCAATATTTGGAATAAGTGAAGATAACACTAGTTACAGCTGACCAGGGTCAGCTTTTGCTTACACAACAACAATCTTTCATGCTCATTTCTAAGACTGACCTAACATCTGACTTCTTTCTCTCTTCTTCTAGTCACCATCATTATTTTTTTTCCTTTGTTTTTGCATCTCTGTCCCTCAGTGGCATAGGATCTGCACTAATCTCTTAAATGTCACACAGACTGGAAATCTGGGATTTCTCTCTATACAATTTTCATGACAAAAAGAAACATAAAACTAAAGGATTGCCAAGTGCTGCAAGAACATTAACAGTGGACAGTATTTAATGAAATTCTGATGTGCTAAGTTAGAAAACAGTCAGAGTTGCAGAGCCCTTAATTGGTGAAGGACTTTGAAATGTCATTACAGGGAGTCATTTGTACATTTCAGTGGCTTGCTAAATGAGAGTTTCATACATGTGCAAAAAATATGCTCCAGGATCTTCAGACTTCCATAAGAAGCCCTGTAAGGTCTGCAGCCATTTCAAGAGTTTAAAGAGTTGATCCATTCTGATAAACTGTCCATTATAGATCGTATAAACCACCCACATAATAATCAATATTTTCGTTTTGCTATCATAGATCCGGCAAGACACGTCTGCCAAGACTACAGCCTAGTTACTTCCACAGTAACTAAGCAATAAACATGAACATTTTAAATACCATGACCAGTTTGGATGGGAGAACAGCTTCCTAAATTAGCAAACAACACCCACGTAAGAAGGTGTACAAGTATTTCAGAGGACAGGTCAAAATATGAAAAGATCCTGATGAAGCGGAGGTAAGATCTAAAGAAACTGTGTAAAATTCACTCTGGACATGTAAAAGGTACATGAGTTTATTACAAAAATTCAGCAGCAAAAATACAAGGTAAGGAATGACCAGTGAGGTAGCTTTCTACAGAAAGATAGGACGGTTATAATGGATTACACACTACACATCAGTCAGCAGTATCAGGTGGTTGCAGAAAAGGCAACCACTCTCTTGCAATGAATAAATAGAAAGTGTAGCTTCCAAAATCTGTGGCACAATTCTTCTAACTGATAGCACAGGTATGGCTTAAGCTAAAGAATCTGCTTTCCTGGGACATAAAACAAAATTTTGCCTCCCTGCTTGTAAAACAGAAACAGGTTCTGGTTTTGGGTGGTACATGAAATCTTCCTCTCTGCAGAGATGGGAACTACTGACTAGAGCAAGAAGATGCATTCAGGTCTGTTCTTTGGTGTTGCCCTGAAAACTCAGCTTCTGAGCTTGCTGACATGGTTTTCTAAAGACTTTCCCAGGACAGTAACTGTAAACATAGATATGTGTACATTCTTTCTGTTACACGTCTTGTGATGGACATCTCCCATGGCCAGTGCAGAGGGAAAGTGTTATCCTGACCATCCAATTCCTGGCCATGGTCAGAAACCTATAAATCCTGGGAGGAAAAATAAACTGTCTCTTCTTTTCACCACACCTCGACCTGTGTCCGTGTGATGTATTCAGCACCAGTGGCAACATCTGGTGAACCTCTGACGTGTGTTGCAGGTGACGGTTACAGGGTACTATCTAGCCTGTGGCTATGGCTGTTTTTGGGTTGTCTCCTACAGAGGGCCTGGTTATGGAAATATGGCGTGCGGTGTTTGATCAGAAAGGGGTTGATGTTTCGTATGCTAACTTTCAGCGATTGTGTGAGTATGGGAGAATTGAGGGTTTTTTCCCTGTGGTTGAGGCAATTTTTTCGAAGTCGGCTTGGGACACTTTAGGTGATTCCCTGCTCGAGGCTCTGCTGGTCGGTTATGAGCCCCAGCTGGTCCGGCTGCTGGGGATCTGGCGCAGGTGCGGCAGCGTTCTGAGGAGCTGCGCGTCCTCTTCTACCAGGTCGAGAGCTGTTTCCTCTGCCCTGGGTGAGAGGTCTGGCTCTGGCTCCAGCTGTGGAAGCAGGGTGGGGCTCTCCCTCTCCCCCGGTGGCACGGAGCCGGGGGGCAGCTGTGTCTCGGGTCCCGAGGTCGGCTCCCCCGGGATCGACGGGGCCCCCAGCAGGTTGAACGGGGGCACTGCGGGACTGGTGGGCGTAACACCGCCTCGGCTGGCGCCCCGGAGGTATAGGCCTGAGGTGGGCTTGGATCCTTGCCAGCGAGCCGTAAGTGCGGTGGCATTCTGATCCTTGCCAGCGGTGTAAGCCCGGGGCGGGGTCGCCTCCTTCGTGTGCCCTCCTGGCGCAGACTGATGAGGGGCTGCCTGAATGGGGGGTGGTGGCACTCCTGGAGGATGCCTCAGGGTAGGTCCCATGTCCCTGCTGTGGCTGGGCCGTGCCCTGCCCCCGGGGGGGGGACGGGGCAGGCCC